AGGCCCTGTGCCCCACAGGGTACCCAGGCCTAACAAACCTTGAGGGTGCTGGACCCCTTTGAGATCCTGGAGTGCTTCCTTAGTCAGCCAAGCCAAGGGAATGGAAAGGTGTGTTCATTCCCTCTCAAACATGTACCACAAAGCTTGTTATAGTGGATAGCTTTATTGGGTATAGAGGATAGGCTTGGGGAGGGGTACAAGTTAGAGAAGTATCAAAAGAATACCCTGAGCAAACAGAACCAGCCTGATAGCCATTTAAAACTCTTCTAAATTATCATAAGCCTTATAAGTTCTAAATACTATAAGCCAGAATTATAAGCCTTACCTTTCTAGTTAAGTTTCTGGTAATTTACTCACTTCAGCATCCCAGAAGTGGGTGAGGATTGCAGAGGTTTAAGTTGCTGTGTAAAAGTCCCAACATGGCTCCCCACTCCTCCTGGAGAGCCTCTCTCTTAAATAGCTCCCCCTAACCTCACCTTCTCACCCAGTCAGGGGCAGGTGGTGGCTGAGGCCGACCAGCCAATTTGAAATGCATCACACCTTGACCAGAAGCCAAGCCCCTGCCCACCAGGTCATGATGCTAGAGCTCAGGACAATAGAAGCTAGGTGACTCAGATCACGTACGCCTTAACCTGGGGCAATCAGACAGGCAGACAGGTGAGAAAAAAGTAGATGCACCATCCCTTTATCCCCTGGGGAAGGGAAAGGTACTCACGGCATATCCTCCACCACAGGAAGGCAGCCACACCTGCTTCAGCCAGCAAGAAGACAGCAATGTCCAAAGCCAGGCCCACATCCCACTGCCTGTCAAGGCCTAAAAGAGTGGAGGAGCTGGCAGTGGAACCACAGCGTCCCACCACCTGCTTCGCAGGACACTCTGCTGCCTCTGCTCCCCTCCCCACCCCACAAAGCTTTGATGTTACTCAGGTGTCTGAACTGCCCATCCTACCCCAAGGTCCCATCCCTACAGCCTCTACATTCTTCGCTGCTCCACAACTGAGCCCCTGCAAATCAGGAACATAGGGGCAGGGGGCTGGAGCCAGACATAGGGGGCAGCCACTGTTTGCAGGGGGTCTGGCCACTCTCCAGCCCTTAAAGCATCCCCCCACCCCCAGCTCCAACCTGAGCCGACCCCAAGGCAGGATGAGGCCATGGCTCCCCAGGCTGCTGTGCTCCACACGGCAGGCAGAGCGGTGCTTGGTGCCCGGGTCCACAGCCACGACAATGTGCAACTGATAGGTCAAGTTGGGGTTGGGCAGGAGGCTGCTGGAATTGAGCCCTGGGCCTGGAGGCACCTCCTTGGTGCTAGGAGAGAAAGGAAGAGTAGTCTGCACTAATCCCAAGGGTTTTATTTTGGGAATCTCACCTGGGAGGGAATGCAGGTGTCCTGGCTCCCAGCCCCCATTCCTCTCCCCAGCCTGGGAGACAACCCAGGGGTCCTGGCTCCCAGCCCATCCCTACTTTTACTCCTGCCAGACCCTCCAGACCTCATTCTTCACCCAAAGCTAGCATGAAATGGGGGTGTCTGGGCTCCTAGCCTGCCTGAACCCTTCCCCCCGACCCTAGGGTGATGGGCCTGACTGGTCTTGCTCAGTTGGACACCCTGCCCCCATCCACACACCCCCCACACCACTAAACACCTTGGTGGCACAGGGAACATGTAGGGCCCTTAGCTGCTCCTCTCTGCTTGCTGAGGAGATCCTGCAAGGAGAGACAAAAAGCAGAGAGCTTGGGGTCCTGGAGGCACCTTCCCCTTGTCCCCTGCGGAAGGGAGAGGGACTCGTGGTATCTCCTCCACCACAAGACAGTGGCCACACCTGCTGCAGCCAGCAGAGAGAGGGTGATGCCCATGGCCAGGCCCAGGTCTTGATATCTGTCAGGCTCTAAAAGAGGGGGTGTAGCAGGAGCTCAGGCATAGGACCTTTACTGAGCAACACAGAGTACGTAGAACCCCTCCAAGGCTGCCTGCCCCAGGTTGCAGACTGGGAAGACAGGCGGGTCTGGTTTGGCCCAGGGGAAAGATGGAGGAAGCACAGCATACAACAGCCCGAGGCAGTCATGGGAGACAGGCAGGATGCCTGGCAGAGCTGTGTGTGCCACAGTCCAAGCACTGGGGAAGCTCCAGAGGAACAGAGACACACCAGAACCATTCACCCCCCACCCACCCCCATCAGGCAGGAGATCAGGTGGCCTGCAAGCAGCAAGCTGATGCAGACCCAGGAGTGAGGGATGTGAGTATCCCAGGTAGCCCCGCCAGGCAGCACTCAGGAGCTCGGTAATGGACTGAGAGTAGGACCTGAGGTCCAGGAGCCCTGAGCGGGGCTAAAGATGGGACCAACAGAGTCCGGGAGCCCAAGGGCTATTCTCAGGTTGGCCCAAGTAGTGTTTATTGTTCAGACTGGTGATTTAAAAGGGGCAACACCTCAGAGTGGGGCCCACCCAATAGGGGCTGTGCCAGAAGAAAGAAGAGGCGCTGGCAACATATGCCACCTTGAAAGAGGAGTTGGCAATATATGCAAGACGCATCTCTTCAGGGGAGGTGTGGGCAATGTGTAGGAGAGGAGGAGCCCTGTGAAGACATTGGAGGGGACTCTACTTAACACTTGTGACAAGCTACTGTGGAGGCCAGGCATGCTCCCATTCACCCTGTTCAACCACTTAAGACCAAGGTGGGGTGGGCAAATCCAGGTGTGGTAGGAACCGAGAGTGGGGCCAGGGATTAATAGCTCTGCCACTGGAGGGCCCTAGCCCTCACTCCCGCTACAGGGAGGAACTGGCAGTCGAACCACAGCACACCATCACCTGCCTCCCAGGACCCTCTGCTACATTTGTCCCCCACTCCCACAGAGAATATATAAAACCCAGGCATTTGGGCTGCCCATCTTACCCCCACCGCCTCCCTAGTTTACCTGCACCCTCCCCAGTGTTGAGAGCACCCCTCACACACACACCAAGCTCTGCATTGCACCTACCCCAGGACATATCCGGCCCCCCAGGCTGCTGCGCTCCATGCAGCAGGCGTAGCTGTCCCCAGCACTCGGGTCTACGGGCAGGACACTGCACAGTTAGTAGGTTAGGTCAGCATTAGGCAGGAGGCCACTGGAGCTGAGCCCTGGGCCTGGAGGCACCACCTCGCCATCATGCTGGCAGGCCATGCAGATGGGCTATGGGTAGAAACCAGTGACCAAGAAAACCAGGAGCAGTGGGAGCTCTGAGGCGGTGGGAGGCTGCTGGGCAAACACCACAGCCACGGGATGCTCTGAGGAGGGCACAGATATCCTGGGACAGGGCACCCGTGGCTCCAGAGTCAGCTGCATGAGGGATCTCCATGGAGGTGCCTCACTCCAGAGGCAGCTGCTTCTCAGCCCAGGCAACAGCTGGATAGAAGCAGCCATTGCCCTCGGCCCCAAAGAGAGCTGACTGTCATGGGGGGGTGCTTATTCCAGCAGCAGGGTCCTCACCCTGCCTCTCCAGCACCTCCTTCCCAAGCCTGAGGCTAAAGACTTCCTTGGCCCAGCCCTGGAGGAAGCAAATGGGGCAGGTGGCACAGTCCAGCATGTGGGTCTCTGGCTAAAAAACATTGCCTACCACAATGGACAGGGCCTCTTGCTGGGGGAGCTGGCTGTTAGGCCAGAGCTGCATGGCTGAGCTCCCATAGATTTCAGAGAGTTGATGATGGCGGAATGAACCCATCTACACACCCAGGTCAGGCTCCCCCAGGCTGGGGAAGATCCAGTGGGGATGGAGATAGATCGAAGCCTGTGGAAAGGGAAAGACCTATCCCTGTGGCTGATGGGTGAAGACCTATCCCTGGCCTGGCTTGATTCCAGGGAAGGCTGTGGCCTGAGGCCTTCACTGCAAGGTGACCTGCATGGACATTTGGGTCCCCAAGCCATGAGCCAGGAAGCTCCCAGTTCTGCTGGGCACTGACACACAGTAAGGGAAGCAGGACCAGAGGGCAGGAGGGAGCTCCAGTTCCAGCAAAAGGCCCCAGAGGAGGAACTTGTTCCCATACCTGCCCCAGCATCAACTTCCAGCTCCCTTCTGCAGGGAGAAGCAGAAGCTGAGTGTCAGCCCCCTGGGGCACTGGTTCCTGGCCTGGGGTTTGGGTGGCATCAGCTCAAGCCAGGCAGAGCCCAGCTTTAGGAGGAGTCCCCCAATGGGGACTGGAGCCACCCAGGGTCATAGAGAGGTCTGACTCCAGAGGAGCAAGAGGTGGAAGCTAGATCCTGGCTGGGTGAGTGCTGCTGAGTACCAGCCACCCCATAAGGTAGTCTGACACCTCCTCCTTGTGGCCAATGGAAGGATACCTTGGTGGCCCCAGTATCTCAGCTTGCATGGCTGTGGGGATACAGGGACAGGGCCCTGCTGGCCTCCAGATCTCACTGACACTTGTCCCTATTTCTCTGGAGGCCCCTGGCTCTGCCCATCACATAGGTCCTGCCCTGACTGCCTCTAGGTTTTGTCCTCCCTGTGATAGCCATAAGCCCCCTGGCTGTGGGGTGGCATGGGATGACCTCCCAGCTCCTTGCCCTGCATTGAAACCAGATGTTTTTCAAATAACATCATCTATCCCCTCACTCCAGTGTTGCACCTGGGGGTGCTTTCGACACTCTGGGTTTCCCCCTCCTTCAGCCGGAAGTTCCTGTTGGGAGCTGGGCCTGGGGGCAGCCACAACCTGGGGGGAAGAGGGCTGCAGTGCAGACCCTGCATTGCAGGGTTGGGGCAGCAGGGTGCAAATGTGGCCTCAGGCCTGGACAGCCAGCTGCTAGGGAAGGAGGGAGCAAACCCAGGTCCAGCTGCCCCTTAGCTGAGCAGGGAGCCCTGGGGCATTAACCCTTTTCTGCTTCCAGGGAGGGAGCGATCACTGCTTGTATCAATACCTTGCCTGGGCCAAGATGCAGTGGCCTCTGCAGTTGCAGATGCCCTCTCTGTTAGCTCTTCCCCCTGCGTAGGGGCAGAATTAGAGAAGACATGATGAGCAGGACTCAGCATTGATCCCAAAGATTTTATTTTGGATACCTCAACCGGGAGGGAAGTCAGGCATCCTGTTTCCCAGTCCCCTTTGCTCTAGCACACCAGCCCTCACCCCTTCCTTAACCTGAGAGAGAACCCAGGTGCCCTGGCTCCCAGCCCAACCTGATGCTAACTACCACCCCCCCACCCCAATCTCATTTTACTCCCAGCCCTGGCATGTAACCCATGTGTCCAGGCTTCTCGCCTGACCAACCCTTTTTTGCTGACCCAACGGTTTTGGGCCTGCCTGGTCTTGCTTAGTTCAAGAATCACAGCCACTGAAGAACTCGGGTGCAGGAAACAGCTACAGCAGTGGCCGCATGGATCCTGCAAAGAGAGAGAGAGGGTGGTGTTCTCGGGGTGCACAGGTTAGGGGCATCATCCCTTTGTCCCCTGGGGAAAGGAGAAGGACTCACGGTGTCTCATCCACCACAGGACAGCGGCCACAGCTGCTGCAGCCAGCAATGAAATGACAATGCCCACAGCCAGGCCAACTTCCCAGTGCCCACCAGGACCTAAAAGAGTGGGACAGCTGGCAGTGGAACCACAACTCCCCCTCACCTGCCTCCCAGGAGCCCCTGCTGCCTCTGCTCCACCCACCCACCCAACACTTACATGGAACTCAGGTGTCCGGGCTGCCCATCCTGCTCCACCAAACCCCCTAGTCTATTCATCGCATCCCTGCATCCTTCATGCCCCTCGCTGCTCTACAACTGAGCCCCTGAGAAGGGAACCTGCAACACCCAAGCCAGAAGCATGGAGGCAGGGGGCTGGAGCCAGCCATGGGTGGCAGCCACTGGGTCCAAGGGGGCTGGCCACTACCCCGCAGTTCTACCCCACACCTACCCCAATGCACAACAAGGCCTTGGCGCCCCAAGCTGCTGTGCTCCACACGGCACGCATAGCTGTGCCCAGCTCCTGGGTCAATGGCCAGGACAATGCGCAGCTGGTAGGTCAGGTCGGCATTGGGCAGGAGGCCGCTGGAGTTGAGCCCTGGGCCTGGAGTCACCTCCTCACCATCCCGCAGCCAGGTCACGTGAATAGGCCGTGGGTAGAAGCCAGTGACCCAGCAAACGAGCAGCAGTGGGAGCTCCACTGTGATGGGAGACTGCCGGGCAAACACCACAGCCACCGGGCGCTCTGGGGATGGCACACAGAGGTGTGGTTAGGGTATCCATGACACAAGAGAGAACTGCACATCCAGCTGCATGAAGGATCCCAGTGGAGGTGCCTCATCCTAGAGGCAGCTGCATCTCAGCCCAGGCAAGGCCTGGATAGAAGCAGCAACTGCTTCCTCCCCAGCAGACAGCTCCATGTCAGCCAGCGGGTGGCAGAGCAAGAGGGCAGCGGGGATTATGCCAGTGCACGTCTGGTCTCACCCTGCCTCTTCAGTGTCTCCTTCCCGTAGTAGGCAAAGCTCTGGGTCTCAGTGACGCAAGTGTACTGGAGCAGGAACCTCAGCCGGCTGGATGTGCCCTGGTCCTGGCTGAAGCTACGGCAAACCCGCTGGGCCATCTTATCCCCTGGTGCGGCCACCCACTCACCCGTGGCCAGGTTGAACCTCACCAAGTCGTCTCTGTCCCGCGTGCTCAGGTAAAAGCTGTAGGAGGTGCCGTTGGGAAGGATCTCACAGCCCATGAGGATCTGGATCACAAAAGGGACTGGAAAAGGAGTGGGTGTGTATTGTCAGGACCAGGGGAGCAGGGATGGGGCAATTGGGAATTTGAGGAGATGGTGGCACAGTTCCAGGGACATCCCATTCTTTCTTTGTGGCTGGACGACCATTTCACCTTTGCAAGATCCTTCTGGAAACACCTCTGACAGGCACTAAATTACACAGGC